AAAGTATTGTGTTGCATTTATTATAAGTATTGTGTTGTATTTATTATGAGTATTGTGTTGCATTTATTATAAATATTGTGTTATATTTATTGCAAATATCATGTTGTGTTTATTATAAATATTGTGTTGTGTTTATTATAAGTAATGTGTTATATTTTTTATAATTGTTGTACTTATTCTAAGTATTGTGTTGTGCTTATTATAAGTATTGTATCGTATTTATCGTAAGTATTGTGTTGTATTTATTATAAGTGTTGTATTTATCATACGTAAGTATTGTGTTGTATTTATTATAAGTATTGTGAGTGTACAGCACACAGGGTTCAGAGTTCACTGCTGTGGGTCATAAAATGCTGACTGTGACTGACTGAAGGTTGTTAAGCTTTTTTTCTCCTCGTTAGTTAACTTTTACTCGTCTTTCACAAACGGCCCTCCTTTCCTTCTGTGAACATGGCAGTTTTTGTTTTTTGTCACAACAATCCACAGTATTTTTCTAAAAATGACCTCACAGCTTGACCACCCCAAGCACTCCCATCCCCTCGCAAAAACATGCGTACACAGCAGCATTTGGATTTGAAGATAACAGAACGTTGCCAGAGTTCAACGAGTTGGAAAAACTATGTGGTTCTTCTCCCAAAAGACGACCCAGGAAAGTTCAAACACCAGCGTTTGTTCTCCAGGCCAGCAGCGGGACTTGGCTTCAAAAAGACTGCAAAGTTATGATGACTTTAGCAGAGTCTCTGAGGGGGAAATGGGTTTTTTTAGGCTTCAAATCACAAAAGAATCCCGAGCAGGCACAACACTCACATCTGGTTGTGACAAATAATGATCATCTCCCAAATTACAGTAAAATATATGTTATTTTGTTTTTAGTGCTTTAGAATTCAGGACATTCAAATTTTGATATAAAATGCTTTTTTCACACATTTTGTTTTGGCAGATCCAATTAAATGTTTTAAAAATGAAGACTTCCAAATAGATCCAATTTGCAATTATAGTTGGGGGAAAAATAAAAGAAAACATGAGATGATAATGTATAAAAAGAAACGTGCGTTTTGTTTGAGGAAGAGAAACTGAAACGAACAATTTCTAAATCAGAAAGCCTCCAGTTTTACATCAAAATCGACAAACAGAAAACAGAAGTAAAACTATGTAGAGACTGCAGAGTGCGTGAGATGGTTGTGCTTACTGTGCAGGAAAAAGGATATTAACTGTTAAAGGTATAAAAAAGGCCTTTACTGTAAAAAAAGTCTAAATTTCTTGTTTAACAGTCAAACAGCTCAACATTTCCAAAATCAAGACGTAAAAACATCATTTTAGAAAATAAAATGATATGAAGACATTAACAATCAATAAAAATCTCAATGTAGTTTAATGAGAATATTTAAAACTAAAAACCCGCTTGTTGTGCTGAATGTTTCTGAATGAAGTGTTGCCTTTAAATACAGTTTAAACAGAAATATTGAAACAACGTGACAGCAACATGAATGTGATATTTACCTGAAGGAGGTCATCACTCAGCACCTCAGTTTTCTCCGCTCTGTTGAGAAAAACAAAAACAAAGACTGAAAACATCCCATTAACACACTGGGATTACACAAACACCTGTCCTGTAGCACTGTGTGTACAGACCAGAGGGGATTTCTTTAGGTTTTCTCCCTCGTCTGTGTTTAAATCAGAGCTACAGCTTCTCATGTTATTTTTAATGTTTTCATTAGGTCTCATTGTTTAGAAATACACTCACCGGCCACTTTATTAGGTACACCTGTCCAACTGCTCGTTAACACTTAATTTCTAATCAGCCAATCACATGGCGGCAACTCAGTGC